ATTTGGTTCACAGTTGGAATCGGAATCGGAATTGGAATGGGAATGGGAATCCTTCGGAATCGGAATGAGAATGGTCTATTCCCATAGTTTGTTTGGTTCAAACAGAAATGAGAAGGAGAATTGGAATAAGTAGGAATGGGATTTCATTCCCAAGGGAGGGGTAGGGAATGGCCATTCCCTCAAGTGGGGGAGTGCCATTCCAGCACGAATGGGAATGGGATTCTAATTCCACCCAACCAAACAGTTGGAATCGAAATAACCCATTTCGATTCCGATTCCAGACCCCTATTCCCACAAACCAAATGGAGCCTTAGTCTGAAAATAATTCATTTTTAGGAAAAAAAAGTGTGTGGTTCATGGCAATATTTTCTCATTCTGCCTATTTTTACCCATTCTTGTCCATTTTAGAATTTCATCTTGGGTAAGAATGAGAATTGAACCAAACATGGCCTACTTGTGCCAAAAAAAAAATCAAGTTATTCCTTTATAAATATCTTCATAATGGTCTTCTTATTAAGGAGGGTCTTTCGAAAAGAATCCAAGGTCTAGATGGCCTTTACCATCTATACCGTTTAGAAACAAGGCCATATCTCATGCTCTGCTCTATTGTTCAAAAGTTAAGCTCATTTGGTTTGCCTCTCTTTAGGGTGGTGACTAAACTCAAATACTCTTGAATCTATTGAAGATTGGACCACAAGTTGGCAAGAAACTCTTCTATTAGTAAAGAAGATTCTAAAAATACATGTTCTTTATTTATCTTTACTTTTTTATTTATTTGGATTACAAGAAATATTAAAACCTTTGAAATAAGTCTGTTTTTTTTTTGGGTTGCAATCGAATTGCACTCTAATCGAATAATTTGGGTTCAAGTTTGAATGTCGAGGTAAACTCCATTAGTTATTTGAATTCGAGCTTGACCAATAAAAAGTTCGGCTTGAAAGGTCGTGATCCTAGCTTGATTAACACATACATACATTATAAAAATATAATTTCTAATATATTTTATGAACTATATATTTTTTATATTCTATATCTATCAATCGTTCTATATATATAGCAAGATGGTCCATGTCACCTTGCTTCTCCTTGCTCCATTACCCCAACCCTGCATTCTC